CTTGTTTTCTCGTTTCCCCACACTCCTTCTCTCTGGTGCTGGCTCAGTAAATGAGAAACAGGGAGGCAGAGATGGGGAGGTTACGTGTGCGGGGTAGTTAAACAGTCACACACACACACGCACACATAAATCCATACAGATACATATGCACACCTACACAAACACACACACACACAGAGATGTGCTCACATGCACATAGAAACACACAAACATGAGTACACATCCACAGTCAAACATCATAAACAGCACATTACTCTTTGATTGAAAGACAAGCGTTTGTGCTGCCATATATTTGCCGTGCCTCTAAATTGACTTGTGTGGGTGTATGTGCGCACACACACACACACAGACACACATTAGCGTGCATACACGTGTGCACACACAAGGCCATTTTAATGAGAGTGTTCATTTTACAGATAGTGCTTCTAGGTGAAATAATTGCCAATGTTGGGCCCTGATGGCTGGCCCAAGTGTTCTCAGGCCAGTTGTCTTTATGGGCCATGGCGGGCCACGAACACACCCCTCATCTCCCTTGCTGCCACTTTAACTGCTGCTCTGCTGTAGCCAACACACAAGCCCGATGAAGACATGGGCATAATATGCATAAGCACACAATGTAGACACCAACTTACGCATTAATACTAAGCGCACACATGCACACACGCCGAGGCGGAGGCCAGCAGAGAACAATAGGGCCGTCTGACAATGGGGCTCAGAGGAATTCTCTCCTCCATATTAATATTCAGCAGAGTGGATGTAGAGAGAGTGTGTGTCACCAGAGACGCATGCTCATCAACCTCGCTAACACTGGGGTTAGGCAGCCACATGATTACAAAGTACTCAGACTTAGGTCCCCAGCCCCATAACTATTAATCCCTAGCTCCTACTCCCTCACTTCCTATCTCCTAGCTTCCTACAGTGCATAGAGCGAGCACACTGCCAAGTATCACAGCTGTCACTTTTCTTTGCTTTCCATTTTCTGAATGAGTCCGAACAGCCTGATGGAGCAAAGGGTGGATGGAAATTGAGATTTGATATTGTCAATTTCCTGCTGCCTCCCACTGCAATGTTTCAAATGTGTGAAGGTGCAGCTAGAAGGTCATCTGGAGGAGAACTTGCAAAAGCAGAACCTTTCATTATTCCCAAGCAAAAACACCCAAGCATGCATTCTTGGCTTGTTTTTTTCTTCAACTAGAGACTTTGCAGTACTTCTTGATCTCATTCCCATCATTTCCACTTGTATTACCTCACGCAAGAAAAGGCGTTGACCAGTAAACACACCTGTAGTACCAGCATCTCCTCTGTATATCTTACCTCCATCTGTGAATCCTACAAGGTGACCACTAACAACGCACATATAAACATTCTGGCCATATTTCTCTACATATGTTACCTCCATCTGGAAACCTGTAAGAACATGAATCGCTTACAGCACATATTTACACATCTGCACACTTCTCTCTAACAGATGCGTGGCATAACAAATAAAGTCTCCACCACATAGCAAGTGTTCCTGGTTAAAACTGAGCCTTCAGTAGCTTTGAGCTCAGATGCAAATGCCCTGTGTTTATATGTTTTTACTTCTATAGATTTGTTCTCAGTTTATCCAGTTGTGTTATCACCAGCCTTCTCTATTGGCCCTCTCATAAAGGAAAAGGAAAAAAAGCTAATATCTAATCGTTATTGCACAAAGGAAAGAGGAAAACAAACCAGCAAGAGCATTTGGACTGCACAGAAGCCACAGTGAAAGTCACATACTGTAGCGCGCCTTAGGCTACACAGTTGTCATTGACTGGCTCACAAGAGCAGTGATTTCTGTCCCCCCTGAGGAATGAGACGTTCTCTGTGCTCTCTGTTATACAGGGGAAAAAATAAGTACAACAAAAAAGACGCACAGTGAAGGGTCAGTTGGAAATGTTTTTGACCTCAACACTATATGGGTCGCCTGCCCAAAGTTTGGGGACTGTTCTCTATTACTGCTTCTGCTCCTCACTAGTGGTGTGAGAGTTATGAGGAAGTAGAAAGTAATGAGAGAGGAAATGCAGGAATTGCTGTGTAGTAAAAAAAAAAAAAAAAAAGAAAGAAAAAAGTGACATACACGGTGTTACCTGTTAACATTTGGCATTAATAAAAGAAATGTTTTTAATTAATATAATATAATTAAAAACATTTCTTCTTCTTTCTTTTCTTTCATTTTATTTTCAAATAAATTCACTGTGATTTGAGTCTGAGCCTGATATTTAATATAAATACAAGAAATAAACTTTGACTAGTGTACATCAACACTTGTCTATTCTAGGGCTGCAGCTAATGATTATTTTCAGCCTTGATTAATCAATCGTATTAAATGGACCGAAAAATGCCAGTCATAGTTTGCTAAAGCTGACTTATTTAAATTGCTTGTTTTGTCCAAAAGGCAAAGATGTATAAATTGCTATAATAGAAGACTAATAAAAGCAACAACTATTTCATTTCAGAAGATGGAACCATTTAATTTTTGGCATTTGGTTTAATATAATGACTTAAACCATTAAATAATTATCAATTAATTTCAATGTCATTTTGTGTCACTCTACTAATTGATTTATTGACCAAACTTAACAGCTCTAGTATATTGTCATCTTTTGTATTCATCTTAAATAAACAACTGGCATGAAAAAACATCAACATCTTTAATTTTTTATTTTTTTTATTTTATAGCTTGATATTAGAGACCAAATACAACTTCATATCAAACAGTTGTCCTCATAGTGGCACACATGAAAGTGTTTCTGCCAACCTCAAAGAGAGCTCAAAGCTCTTTGTGATCCAGTGAAAGACAGCTGGTACCCAGGTCAAGGTGTATTCATTCACATTTTAAAGGTTTTGTGAAAATCTCATTCATGGAGGTTAACTGGTGTATTCAGGTGGGAAAACGTTGGCTATTTATATGAAATATCTCCCTTAAAAAGTGGTACAATTGCTTCAACAGTGTACTGAAATACAGTTAAGAGTAACAGAAGTCAGTAACCTTCGTCAAACATAATTTTCAGATCCTCCACTCTCCTAAATGATGAGAGTCTAGCTTTTGCCTCTCTGGCTTGATACACGCTGCCTAATGCTCCCTATTTCCTCCGTCTCCCATCACACTCCCCCTAGCTTGCTTCTGAAAATCTATTACAAAATGTTTTAAGGACAGCCTCGACATTATACAGATAGACCTTCACATATTGATGTCTAATGGGCAATGGCAGTGAGCTGTGGAAATGCTGCCGATGTTCAATATTCACATCTTGTCCAATGCAGGCAGACATTGTGCCTGCGGTAGGCAAAGATTAGTGCAGAGTGTAAGGGTAGTTTTGGACCAGGCACTGCAACCAATTAAGAGGTCTTGTTTTAGAACGACAGTTAGTGTTATTAAAGGTGACATCTGCTGTTAATACATGACTGATGACATCCAATTAAAAGTCTTCATTTGAATTATGATTTGACTTCAGAGCCACTTTAAAGCCCTGGTTTCCAAAATACTAACGCGAGAGGATTTAATTATTTTGAAGTAGTAGACGTTCATCAATGAATTAGAAATGGATATAATAGAAAGGGTATAGAGCACCAAACATAAAGCTCTGTACACATCTAGACTTTCCTTGAATAGACCATTATCTAATTTCTCCTTAAATGCCAATCACAAAGTCAACTCGTTCTGCAAACAATATCTGTTTAGCATTCTGTCCCATCTTGAGCTGTATTCATTACACGTGTTAGCCGCACTCTGCACATATAAATCAGTTTACTATGCCACAAACTGGATATCAGTCTGGAGCTGTTTTATAAAAAGGACAACATATCTCACCACACACTGAGCAACTTCATCCCACACCAACCACCTAACTACCCAAATAAACTGCACACACACATTCCTTTCCATTTGTGGAAGCAGTTAAAACACCAAACCTAAAATACATACGCACACACACTAACACCCTGAGTTGAGGATGTATGGTGCCCAACTTAAACACATTTAAATACACTTTACACACCCAAACATAAGCTTGTTGACCAACTGCTTCTCAGCTACAGCATGTGTCCTTTGAAAATGAAAATGAGGACGGCTTTATTTGTCTCTATTTGTGTTTAAGCAAACTGCATGATAATTTCCCAGTTGGCTATGTAGTCTACTTATTCTGGGATGAAGTGAACAGGCAAGTGTGAGCAGCAGAGCAGTTAATGGCCTTGATGAATCTGTCTCTGTACACTCAGTATGCCTGATGAAAACCTTACATTTCTAAAGCCAGTGTTCACTTGGGGGTTCGATTCTGCACGAGATACAGGCACTTAGCGCGTGGTGGTTAATGAAAGCTCCAAAGCTTTGTGTGATGAAGAAAAAAACAGATATAAAACATGGAGTTACCTTAATGGGAGGTTTGTGTCCGCTGGGAGCTTAGTGTTGCACATATGCAGCATTGACCTTCAGGAAGTATTTTCACGAGGTACTTAATTTTAAAAGGTATAACCGTTCTGATGGGGATAATTATTTAGCCCGTAGCTTTTAGTATTCCATATTGTGCCAACGTTGAAACCCAAAATTACATCTTGAAGTCGCTTAAAGAAAGCTGGTATAAAATAAAATATGACAGGAAAGCATTTTGTTTATGCAGCCCCTTAAAAGCAACTTAATTTTTATTTATTTTTAGAGTTGTTAGCTACTGTGCCAACATTTAAATACATTCGGAGTAAAGTAAACAAGTTGAAGTTGGAATGATGACACATATGGCTGAACTATTCAGGCAATATTATATTTGTTGCCATTGAACAAGTAAAACTTGGCTTCACTTAATAAGAAAAACTAAACTAGTTTAGTTTTTTTTAGTTCTTTTGTTGTGAACTCTTGTTTCATTTCCATTTTATGTGTTTTAAGAAGGATTTTCCACTTTCTAAATTTCTCAAAAAACCTTGTTACCCTAATTCACTGCATGTCCAAATGAAAATTAATACTGTATTTGTCTACTGTCTCCTCTCAGGGCGGTGTTCACTAACACTCAGCCAGCTGTCCTGCTGAAGCAAACACCAGTCAAGTCTACCTTGAGGATACTGTCCATTTCTGCGAACCTGTGGGAGAACTTTTCACACTGAGCCACGTGATGGGCCATCACAGCGCCGCTTAGAGCACACTACATACGGTGCTGCTGTCATCTTGCTTTGCTGCCTCTAAATATAATCTGTGTGAACGGAAAAGGAAACGATCAAACAATTAAGAAAGGAGAGTTGAAGCTGAAACTGAGAGGGAAAGAGAAGGAAGCCCGAGCGGAGACTCTTGCAGGCTGTATTCTGCACTGGGCCAACCTGTCCGTCACAGCCTCAAACGTACTCATTACCATCACTGAACTGTGAAATTCATGTTGTAATAATTGTTATAATACAACCAATAACAGATCATAAGGACTCTTTACTGGATTTTTCTGAGCTGTGGAAATCTCACTAATTCTGTCCTTGCTGCTCATTAATTAAATCCACTACCTGGTTATTCAGCGTGAGTGTAGAACGGCACAGTACTATTTTTGAATGACTCACTGCTTGCATAAGTATCCAGGATTGCTTTTGACTTCGAAGAAGGACCCTTGAGCCCCTCAACCATCTTCTGACTGTCTGCCCAACTATAGCATTTGGGTGTGGAGCGCTGGTTTCAGAATTAGGCCTCTGGACGCATGTTGAAGATGACTTGAGTTGGCAGGCCTAAAACCCCTTACCCCAGAGAGAGAAAGAGCTTGGCAGTACGACACGCACACAACACACAAATGTGGGTGCCGAGGCGGCTTTGAGCCATGCTGGTGTTGCTACTCGCGGAGCCCTGGAGTACAGGCTATCATCATCCCTATCATCATTCACCCAAGCTGAGGAAGAATCAACGGCCCCAAGGAGCGAGGCTACGCTTCTGAACGACTCAAAGAAGACTGGGAGACTGCGCTAACACACAGAGATATCCACAGCTACATCCTCAGTCACACAGATAGACACACTAATACTTCTCTCCACAAAACCCTGATACAGGAAAAACAAAGCTGCGGCGGACGTGAAAGGCACAGAGACTGAGCAGGTTAGCAAGCCCCGTACAATCACATCCTGGGTCGCTCAGACCTTTTACACACACGCTTTCTCTCTGCATTCACCGCAACGCAGAACACCACAACTGCATCTTGCTTTCAGCTACATGATAGGAAAAAAATACACAAACACACTGCCTGTGCTTCAACAAAGGCTTTTATTTCAGTACATGATTGAAATGTTGGAGAGGGGGGGCACCACAAAGGGAAAGGCAGGCGAATGCACAGGCGAGAAAGCCGAGACCTAGAGGGAGTGAGAAATAGAAGTGGGGGGAGAGAAGAGGTGGGGGGTCGGCTGCATCTAAATGAAAAAGGGAAACTAAGTTGCCATGGAGGAGAGGAGGTCTGGGCAGGAGGACTGAAGCAGAGCTGATTGATCCAATCTCAGTGTGTAGGAATCAACGGACAACCGGAGAGGAAACGATAAAAGAGGATTAGAAAGAGATAGAGACAAGGGAGGAGAGAAGGAGGATGACTGCACGGACACTTCTGTAAACAAACCTGAGAGTGAATATAATGAAAGATTATTATGAAGGGGAGGAGGTGGTGGTGGTGGGCAGATGGGAGAGGTGGATAGCGTGAAAGAGAGATGCAGAGAGAGGAGAGCGCCATAAGAGGGACAGTTGGAGACAGTTGGAGAGGGAGCGAGCCAGAGAGGGGAGAGACAGAAAATCTAAGGATCATTAAGAGGACGTGTCGATAGGAAGCCTTGGCGTGTAGGCAAAAACACACACACAGGTTCGTGCCAAGAGGATATTTATGAAAGGGAAGCGGGGATAGTGTGACACCGAAGCATATGCTTGTTGATATTCATAGAGCCTTCCCCAATATGGTCTCAGCTCCTACCTTGACACTCTCCCTTGTGTGCATGTGTTCCTCTCCTTCACTTTGTCTGTCTCTCAAATGCTGGGAATGCTTGGAAATAGTCACATTTAAGCTAAAAATACCACTAAGGAAAGAGAAAAATAAAGTCTGGACCCACGCCGAATTGCATGGCACACGCTCTTTTTCAGGGTATTACATATAAAATACTGCCTGTGTTGAGCTGAGACAGGAGCTGGTGTTGTTCATGCAGAGCTCTTTCATACAAAGACACTTAAAAATGCACATATTAGTATGTACAGGTACACAAATGTATCTATTTTTACACATACCTACTAAAACATTCATTCTTCTATAAGCTGATACAGACTCGAGTCTTCACTGCCAGGAACTCACTTCCCCTCTCCTACTCTGACTGACTGTCCAACTCTCCATCTGTCTCCTCGCCCCCATCCCTCCCTCCCCCCCAACCCTCCGTCTCTTCTATTGTTGCCATCTCTAGTTTGCTTTGCATGGACTTTGACTGCAGCCAAGGGGCAATTTTGCATCTAGCACTGAGTTCACATACGAGCACACACACAAACACATACATGCGTGCACAGAAGGGGAGAAAAAAAAAAACTTGCCTTTAGAGGATTTGTTTATCAAATGTGCTGTCAAATCATGTCAGGCATTTCATGTCAAGGCACATTTTCCAGCCCCAGGCTACCCAAAAGAAAGGATTCAAACAAGAGTACGGCACAATGTAATTTCTACAACTTTCACCACTGTATATTATTCATATTCTATAAATAGTGCGCTGTGATGTGAGTGCACGGAGATCATTTTATTTGAATTGTAAATTTATGTTACTGATGTTGGTGTCAGGGATTCGCTAGGAGACAAGTCATAAAACATCGACCGAGGAACGTATTAATGTTGCAGAAAAATGCCTCTCTGTAAAACATCTCGCTAAAACATTTCTGGGGATTTCAGGACCACTTTGCTGAATAATTTATAGAAATTTCACGAACAATAACATCCAAGAGAAAACATGCATTATACATGTCAGCTTGTACTGAGAGTCTGTTCTGTATGCGAATGCTTTGTGTTGAGCATGTTTACTTATTTGTATGTGCGTTTCTCTCTGTGTGTTTTGGTCATAACCTCAAACAGACACCTTGTGTTTCTGAATATACAGTCAGGAAATTCAGCTTTTTTTTTCTGTATTTACTGTAGATATTTTCTTTATAGTTTAATTGGAGGATGCAATATAGTGCAGTCACATCATGTTTATCACTTCTGTTGTCTTAAAAGCTATCAACAGCACTGTGGGCAATTAATCTGATTCCCTTCTCCCGATCTCCTCCTCCATTTTAGTTTCATGTCAGTCACTCCATTTCAGTTAATCTCCTTGGAAAAAAAATCTTCCTCGCTTATTTTCCCCTCTGCAACTGTCACTGTCCAATTTTCTCCATCTCTATCATCCTTTTGCTTTCACTGATTCTTGTAATCTTCCTCGCCCGCTCACTCCACCCTTCATCGCGCTCTCTGGCTCTAAATGTCCGTTTGTCTTCTGCTTGGTTGCTCTGACCCATATAATACAGGACAGCCCCTCTACAGTATGTCAGACTATTCAATCCCAAAATCTTCTCCACTTAAGAGATAAAAAAACATAACTTTAAACAGCAGGTAGAAAATTACAGCACTGTAGTTGACCCCTTTTAGAGAAAGTGTGTGGTTTATCTAAATTGTCTTTTCAACAACCATTCTTTCTACTTTCTCTTTTGAATGTAATGAGTTACGACTTTTATTTTAGAATCAATAAGTTATAGCCTTTGTACTTGTTTTAATCCAGTTTCCCATTTCCTCTTTTTCAATCAGGAGCTGTGTACCAACATGGCAGCTGAGAGTCTTGCTGAGCTCCGCGATTGGCTCTTTCTGCTCCTCCTGTGCCTCACCTTATTGGCTGAGGTGCTGGAACTGGCGGCAGCGGCAATTGCCATGGAGACGGGCGAGGGAGATGAGGGCATTGTTTGTCCCTCAGTGTGCCGCTGTGATGAGGGTTTTGTCTACTGCAACGACCGAGGCCTCAGTATAATTCCACCACTACCGTTAATGGCTGCCATTCTGTACTTGCAAAGCAACCGGCTGAGTAACGCTGGTCTGCCTCCCTCCCTGGAACGCAGCACGTCCATACGAGTGATTTACCTGTATGCCAACCAGCTGGATGAATTTCCTATACACCTCCCGCCTTCGTTACGGGAGCTCCATTTACAGGATAATAATATACGAACGTTACCGAGATCAGCTTTGGCCAAGTTACCATTACTAGAACGTTTACACCTGGATGATAACTCTATATCCACAGTTAGCATCCAGGAGCGAGCTTTTTCTGGGACTCCAAGGCTTCGACTGCTGTTTCTGTCTCGGAACCACCTGTCAAGCATCCCTGCAGGGTTGCCAGCATCCTTGGAGGAGTTGCGACTGGACGACAATAGAATCAGCACCATCCCCACACATGCTTTCCGTGGGCTCTCCTCCCTGCGACGCTTGGTCCTGGATGGAAACTTGTTGGCCAACACACGCATCGCAGATGACACCTTTTCCCGTCTCTCCAACCTGACTGAGCTGTCACTGGTCAGGAATGCCCTGCAGTCTCCACCAGTCAACCTACCGTCAGCTCACCTTGTGCGACTTCATTTGCAAGACAACGGAATGACTCACATACCACGGGGGGCGCTGGACGGGATGCGGCGGCTACAGAGGCTGGACCTGTCAGGAAACAATCTGACCAGTCTCCCACGAGGACTTCTGAAGGACACAGAAAGCCTGGAGCTGCTACTGTTGCGAGGAAACCCCTGGTTCTGTGGGTGCAACCTTCGCTGGCTCCACGCCTGGCTGCATGGCCGAGGGGCAGCCGTGACAGTCAGGGGTCTGACCTGTCAGGGGCCTGAGCCTGTAAGGGGCCAGATCCTCAGAGACCTAACCTCCCTGATGGAGCAGTGTGAAGGTCCCCCTGCTGGTCCCAGTACTGGAATGGGGATGAACCCAGCAGAAAAGGATGGAGGAGGTGAAGATGGTGTTGGAGGGGGCCAAGCAGTGGCTTCAGTCCCCCATGGCAGCACCACCACTACTTCTCTGCTGGTCCCCACACAAGGTTCCCTCTTCACCCTGCGAGCCAAGCGGCCAGGCCTTGTTATGCCTCTGCCTCCCGGTGAAGGAGGACAGGTAACTGGAGAGGCCCTGGAGCTGACTGTAAAACCTCTCTCTTCGGACAGTGTACTGGTAAGTTGGCTGTGCCCACAACCAGCCCCCTCTTTCCGCCTGTCGTGGCTTAGGTTGGGTAGCAGTGCAGCTCTTGGTTCAATAACAGAGACTCTGGTTCCTGGAGAGAGGAGGCAGTACCTTCTTACCCAGCTCACCCCACGCTCCCATTACCTCATCTGCTTGCTGCCACTACGTCAGGAGCCCTCCTTTGGGGGTTCCAGCATGGGGTCATCTCGAGTTGGCAGCATGGACACGGACAGTAAAGACTCGTCCCCGGCCTGCGCTCAGATAGAGACTGGAGATGCTCTGGTCAACTCAGGAGGGGAGGGGTCAGATAAAGAGGGACAGGACTCTGAACTAACAGCCCTGCCATTGGCTGGGATCATAGGGGGTGCCACAGCATTGGTAAGCCTGCTGTTAATCTTTGGCATCTTCTGCTGGTATGGACAGAGAGCAGGTTACATGTCTGGGGACTCAGGCTCATACAGCAGGGGCCGGGGTGGAAAACATTATGATGACTATGTAGAGTCAGGCACCAAGAAAGACACTTCAATCTTAGAGATCAGGGCCCCTCCTGCAGGGTTTCAGATGACAGCTATGGCCCATCAGCCCCTGCAGCCTAAGCTGGAGGATGTCACCTACATCCACACCATCTTCCCCTCTTCTTCCTCTTCCTCCCAAGCTAACGGGACCTACCGGAGCAGTCACGGAGCTGGCAGCCTCAATGGCACCATCCTCAGCCAAACCAGCCACCATCATGTCACTTATGGTACCAACCGTGGCTACAGAGAGGGGGGCATCCCTGACATAGATTATGCCTACACGTGATGACACAATGACCCACTCCCTGAGTCATGAATGCCAGGCGCCACTTCTATGATGACGACACCTTGGCTGGTGGCAGTTTTGTCCTTGGTTTCCAAAGTACCCTCTGTGCCTCTGCTGGTTCTATTCTGATTGGTTTGCTAGGTAGAAAAGACTGATTTCAGCTATATTGATTGGACATTGCTATTGAGTGACAGAAGTAAGTCCTACTATACTCTACTACTGTATACTACATTATACAGTAGGCCCTTCTTTCAGCGCTACTTATAGTTATAAATGGTTACGTTTTCTCTTTTGGATATCTCAGTGTCTTTCATACCTACTGTTCTTCTCAGCTCATAATAATACACAGTAACTTATTTGAGGTTGATATACTAGGCTTAGCTGATTTAGCAGGAGATATATTTATAATATGAGGAAAAGGCACTTGATGTGTATAGAGATAGCTCTCATATCTTCCTACCAACTGTAAGCTCTGTGCTGTATAGATAAAAGGGATGACAGAGGGAGAAATCAATGGTTGTTATAACCCACAGATGACAATGCATCATGGTTGACATGAAAAGATGTGTTCCTAGCCCCCTCTTTTTCCTCTAGTTTACTCCCCTTCTTTTTAATTTTGCCTCCTTTCCGCCTCCTTTTTTTTTGGCTGAGGCTCTTTCCTTTTATTTCTTTCGTGTCTTTTGTGGTGCCGTGAGCAGAGAACGACTTTGTTCTCGCCAAGGGAGCTGACAGCAGTGATAACAGTTCTGACAGAGATGGGAGACACAAACCACAGCATAGGGAGACTAATGAGAGGGGGAGAGAGAGAGAGCGAGAGAGTGGGGTGGTGGGGGGTGATGGATAGATGGAGGGATAGAACATAAAATAAGACAGAGGGGAAAAGAGAGGGGTGCCGTTTTGGGCACTGAGAGAGGTGTGCTGGCTAATGGCAGAGAGCGAGGACAGGAAAGAAGAGAAAAAAGGAAGATAAGTGGAAAAAAGGGCGTGTGACAAATGCAGCGGCAGGAGGTAAAAAAGCAGACAAAAGGAAAAGAAGATGGGGGATCAGGGGCGGGCGGGGTAAAGAAGAGGGGTGACAACTGGAATAATGTGACATCGTCATCCAAAAAATGGCTCAAGTTTTACCCACAGTGTATCCAGTGCTGCACCCAGCAAATATCTGAGTGATAACAGACAGCACAGCTCCTTCAAGGATGGACGTTTTCAGCTGCATGTGATCATTACAAGTCAAAGTCTCATTAAACAATATTTCTCGGGCAGTTTCCACCACATGTATCATGTATCTTCATCCTAACATGAACCCATTTCCATACCACATATCATAATTATAGAAATGTTTGTAGGACAACATGAGGAAAAGAGGCATGGCAAGACAATCAGAGAAAGACATAAAGTAAAATGACTGCCGCGACCACAGGACAAATGACTGGCTTGAGAAGAACAGCTATTAAAGATCTCCCTCTTTCGAAAAAGTACTGCATGTACCCAATTTCTATTGTGGTCTGGTCTCATTATTAAATTACCTTTTCAAATGAAGTGAAAAAAACCTAATCATACATCTTATAATAGTAACCCATTATCCTCTAGAGCCTGGTTAAACCTTCTTAATTGAAAATAAGTTTTAGCAGCTAATAATTTTTTGGTGGAAGTCGGAACTACTCTGTCTAATTACTGAGTTAAAATTCACTCATAATAATATAGCTTTTCAATTTTACTAAAAAAGTTGTAGTTGTAACTATTTTGTTATTTAATGGAAAGTTCAAAATACAAATGGTAGAATGGGCAATATGGATAAAAATATCTATCACATATAATTTTATATCTTGAGATTGATATATATTGAGATATAGTACTTGCGATATATTAATTGGAAAACTGATTATAGATACAATTACCAATGTCTGTTTTTTGATCCAGTAAATTAAAGGCTGACAAACAATAGTACTTCACCACATTGATGCAAAAATTATAGGAAATTCCAACAATGCCATTAAGTATTTATGCTCTTTTAACTGAAACAGCGTAATACAACCAGATATATTAAACCAGAAATATTTAATTGATGGCTTCCACGGTATAATTGGTTTGGAGAAAAATAACGGTTGACAAATTTGTAGAGCTGAAATGAATTAGTTAATCAATCGAAAGAAAATTCTGAAATCTGCAACTATTTTGATATACAAAGAATCACTGAATCACATTTTCTAAGCAAAAATACCAAATATTTCCTTGTTTCAATCTCCCAATTGTGATTTTGCTGCTTTTCTTGTGATAGTAAACTGAAAATATTCATCACTTCAACTGGGCATGAAATATTTTGGCTGACCTTTTTCCCTATTGTCTGATATTCTATCGACCAAATGAGTAACAAAATGATTGAAAGAATAATTGGCACATTAATCAGTAATGAAACTAATTTTGCAAATGTGTATTGTCATCACGTTGCCCCACCCCACAAGGGGTCATTTTAATTTGAATAACTTTACCAACTGGTCTTGTATCTTTAAAACAGTGGAAGTTGAGGTGATGCATTCTGTGAGGTAAAGTTGTTAGTTGACTCAGGTCATCCAGTTTTAAAAGGCCTTAGTACAGCATAGACAGTTATTTTAACAGGGATCACAGCCTTACCGCTACACTGTGCAGTTCAACACACAAACTAACACAGCAAGAAGAAAGCGGTACCTGCTTTCTGACTGCCTCTCACTGACCCCACTAATATACTTTAGGGAGGAGGAACTTCAAAGGAAAAATGCTAGCAAACAGCCAGCGATTAAAAGAGGAAGAGGAGAGAGTAAAAAGAGAAAAATAAAGGGTAGAGGAGAGGATGGGGAGGACTGATATACATATAGAGCCTGTGAGTTCTTAAACTCATTTTTACTTTGAGTAGCTCTCTTTCTCTTTTCCAACCTGTGTTACTGTGTACCAGTAATATTGGAAGAGCTCCGGTGTGGGTTTTTAGGTTGTTGTTTTTGTTTTCCTCTCTTTTTTTTAAGAGCACTGAAGCTTCCTTTTATTTTGTGCAGAAATCCTTTTTCCTTTAAAAATGTCACCCTCAGATGTGATAATGAAAACACTCTCATGTATAAACATAAAAATGGGTGCAAAATGCTATTCCATTTATTGGTCTGTCGTCTTTTTTTCTACACAGATGAATAAAGACTTCTAAAAGGAAAAGCAGTTTCATGAGTTGTCTTTGTATGTGTCTGTGTGTGTGTGTGTGTGTGTGTGTGTGAGAGAGAGAGAGAGAGAGAGAGAAAGTGAATGTCTGCATGTGGGTTCATTAAATCA